ATTGTTATAACTTGGCGCTGTTGAAATATTTTGGTTGTTAGTATTTGTCATGTGGGTTTTTCTTGACTTGTGAGAATATTTTGAATGTATGAATGTTATTATTTTGCAGTAATAGATTTTTAGATTTATAGGTAAAAAAATTGTATATTTAAATAAAATCGTTGTAAATGCTTTATTTTACATCGGTTTTTATAAAGCCGATGCAAAACAGCCATTTCGACAAAAATGGTTGAAAAGACTATTTCGACAAAAATGGTTGACGTCGGTTTTCATAAAAACCGATGTGAATACGATTTATATGACATCAGTTATTATGGTAACCGATGTTATATGTCTTTATTTACATCGGTTTTTCTCGATAACCGATGTATTTACAACTTTTTTACATCGGTTTATATAATAACCGATGTTAAATGTCTTACTTTACATCGGTTTTTATAAAACCGATGTTAATATAATCGATTTTTGGGACCTGTTTTTTTTCCCTTATAACATTGGGTATTTGACAAAACCGATGTAAACAAGTTTTTTTTCACATCGGTTTGTAACCGATGTAAAAAGGACAGACTTTTAACATCGCCTGTTTCAACATCGGTTTAAAAATGGGTTTTAACCGATGTAAACATGATTTTTAACCGATGTAAAAAGTATTTTTTCTACTAGTATCATTTACATAAATGTTATTATGCATATAGTGTTACAGATATAAGAAATACAACTTATTTAAAAATAGCAGAAACACAATGAAAAATAGAGCATTAACATGGTTAATAATAGTACTCTCACAATTATCAAGTTTGTTTCATATTTTAACAGCGTCGTATGGATTTGAGAAGGAAAACAAAAAGGACTATTGGAGGTGGAATTATTGGGAGAGACATTTTATTGAGGAACATATGACAAAAGGCACAATTAATACATCCTTAGCTCATTTTCCAGGTATATAGTCACATAATTTTGGCATTATTATTATTGTGAGATAAGCAGAACATATACATCCTGAAAATGAATTAAGGTTAAAGATTTTCAGATGGCCCAGCGGTCGAAATGGCCTAGTTGAAGTTGTTTGTCCAAAACTATGTCACCTCTGTAGCCACAGCTCATCAACAGGACCACTTACACATACATATATTAGATGATTTTGATCAAACAATAGGCTGACTCTCATCAAAATTCTTGTAATTTGAGCCCTCAAACGGGAAAGTGAAAAACTAATTACATGCGTCCATGCGTGTGAGTTGTGTGTTTAGTGGATGTATGGTTGCAATCCAAGTGGCTGAGGTGTTGCAGGAATTTCTTCTTAGGTAAAATTCGATGACCAGATCAAGTAGAGAATTAAAAATTGTGAACCAAACTTTGACAACATTACATTGAACTAATTAAAAAAAAAAAAAAAAAAATTGAAGTAAACCCACCTAAGAGTACATCTTGGAAGATGCTTTATTATTTTGGTTATATATCATTTTAACCCAAGTTAAACCACAATCCACTTATTGGAGTCCTTGGTGTTGCTCAATGTTAGAGAATTTAATTGGCTTAATTCAAATACCTCTTGAATTATTATAGTGATCAAATTTTCTATTGGATTTCCGAAGACAGAAGACTAAAATAAATGGAAGATAAACTTTATTAATTAGTTTCCTAGTATGTTTAATGTATAGATTTATTTTTGGATATTATTCCTATTTGTTTCTTTTTGTAGGCAAGGAAGAAGGGGGAATGACATGATCTGTTGGACCCCAAGACATATCTCCCAGGTTTTATAGAAAGAGTATTGCAAGATATTGTGGATACTGTTCCAAATTTGCGAAATCCTATATATATGCAAAGTCATTTTCTTACTTATTACTAGTACGTACCCCGCGCGATGCACGGTACATAAATATTAAATAAGTTATTTTCACAGACTTTGTCTGTTAATTATATAAAGTAATAGGGCTATCATCTATTTTCCACCTCTGTCTGTTAATTATATAAAGTAATAGGGCTATCATCTATTTTCCACATCTTTTAATCAGCGTTAAGTGTAATAAACAATAAGGTTACAATCTATTTTTCACCTCTTTAAATCAGCGTTGTTTTCTTAGTCAAAACATTAAATATGAGCATGTTAGGGCTAGCTTGTAAAATAATTAATATATTATCTCACTACCACATTTATACTAATATAAATTTGATTTTAGTATATATATTTATTCCTTGATATAAGAGAGAATAACAATTTTACTTATTCGTGTTCATCATATAATACTTAATTATTATTTTATTGTAAACTTTGTTGTCATATGATGTCATTGTTATTTATAAAGTTATAGAAGTTGTACATCTTCTTTTTCTTTTTTATTTTATGTGAAAAATATTTAATGCACGTTAGGATTATTTATTTATGTAATCAATTTAAAATATGTAAATAAATTTAAAATTAAATAGTGTATAAATATTTTACAAAATACATATGTTTTTTTAGAATTTCATAATTATTTTTGGATAAAAAGTGAATATTTGTGAAAAAAATTAATATTATGGTTAGAACTTAAAATATGGTGGAATATTTATGTTGACCAAAATATTATCAACATAGATCATGGAAATCAATCTTGTAATTTATTATAATGAATATCAATGAAAGTATTACAAATATTAATAAAATAATATTTATCTTGACCAAATTATTATCAATATGAATCACGGAAAATCAATCTTGTAATTTATTATAATGAATATTAATGATTAATTAAGTAATTTTTTTGAACATATCTTATTTGATCTTATTTAGAACGTGTATATAGAAGCAATTAATGCATATATTTAAAAAGTTTTCAAAAATGGTATGCATTAAATGTTTCTTAAATTTTTAGTTACTATTTTTAGTAAATGTTAATTCTTATTATATATATATATATATAGATTACTTTCCAAAACATGACATAAAAGAAGATTTTGAAATCTTAAAGACCACTCATAAAAGAAGTCAACTTATTTATCGCTAATCTTCATTGCATCATTGTTAAAGCTTTGAACGTGTTATTGTACATTCCAAGAATACTTAAGAGTTTAAAGTTATTTTTTAAGGGATGACTACAGTCCCGTTGCTATGATTTCGCTCTCTCAATATTAATCATTGGATATTTTAGTTTAATATGGACCTTTAGGGAACTTTAACATTTTTCTATTTTTTATTGTGTTTCGTATATTTTATTTGAGCTTCCATTTTATATTTTACGGGTTAAAAACTTGGAACACTTGGTAGAAGAGTTCCTCAACCTTGAAGTGTAGGGTGAAAAGGACTAAAATGAAGTTCTATTATTGTAGGCGCAACCATTTATTAGTAAAATTGTTATGAGGAGTAGCGATATGCTCCCTGAAAGAAGAAGAAAAATAAAAAAAGTTATAATTTCTTTCAGTTAATTTCAATGGTCTTATACTCTATTCATATATTTGTGCATTCTTTCACATTTACCCGCACCTATCAAAATTTGTTATATTACCTTTTGCATTGTCTCATCATCTAACCATTTTTTAATTCATAAATTTTGTATGAGACGATCTAACTGTTAAGCAGACTGACAAGTTGTACTGTGTTAACAAAATTACATACTTTTTTTCCCCCAAAATTACATACTTATGTTATAAATTGTCCTACATTTATTTACAATGTCTCTGAAATTATGACATTCTAATTTGAAAATGATGTGTAACTGTTAAAAATTTGATTGTCTTGCTATTAGACTTGCATCAAGTCCATCTTACTTATTGTTAATTAAGTAGGTACCATTATTATATTTGTGTAGTATCACTTTTGTTTTGCATCAATGGCACTTTGAAGGGACAAAGACACGGGAAAGGGTCCCAATTAGCGTCACTCTATCACCTCACCTAGGGTAAATAGCGGCAGCCATCCATACGTTGTTGATTTTGTGTGTTTCAAAAGAACAATATTGTCGTCAAAAACTTCGTCTCTGCTTCCCTGCCTTTGCGATGATATCATACTTTATTTCCTCAAATACATGATTTCTTTTCATTTATTTTTTGCAACATTTGAAATATTTGCATCCATGTCGATGTGGATTCAGACATTTTGCATAAATTCCACCTACTCAGTCTAAAGTGGCTTATTATTTTCCACTATTACAGATTTTAGTTATCATCAGCCGAGTAGCAGTCTGATTAACAGTACATAAATTATGATGCAATCATTCTTTCAAGTAGGATTCAAAGGATGTGCTATGTAAATTAACCGAACTGTAATAATACTGAAGAGCCTTAAAAGAATTTATTTGTAATTTACTTTAAAGAGAATTTAGACGTAGAATCAGCATCTGATTCTCAATAGAGCTGGAAACTGGCCGAACTCAGTTCAAACTTTTGATACTCAATAAATGAATCAAGATTAACTCGAGTTTTAACGAGTCAATTCGAATCAAACCCACGAAACAGCTCGTGAACTCGAGTTTTAACGAGTCGAATCGAATCAAACCGATGAAATAAACAACTCATTTCACTAGCTCTTACCCTGGGTAATAAATAACATGACAGTTTGGGGGTGGGAAAATTTTGTTTTTCATTAAGCACGTGTGAGGTCTAAAATAAGTAGAGCCTGCAGCATTAATTAATGGTTGGGTTGGGTTCATCCCATTTCATTCTTTTACCTAATGCATTACTTCGCAAGTCACGTGACTGTCGCACGTGCCTCCTTTCGGACAAAAGAGAGCACAAAGCACAAAAATAACATGCATCCAGGACTCTCGGCCGTCAACGTTGCCGGTTAAGAGTTGTCCTTTCAAAGTAGAAAAAATAACAATTGATTTTCTAAATAAAAAATAGTAACAAATTTCACACTGACGGAAAATAAAAGGAAAAAAAGAAGACTACGACTCTCAAGGATGAACAATTAAATAAAACAAATACCACTCACAAAACTGCCAAGAACCCAGCAAATTTGTTGCTGATTTCGAGATTACATTTTTATTACTACTACTTCGTAAATCGTAATAAGACGCTCAAAGGGCCAACAGCGGGTCCGACCCGAATATATCACCAATGTCTTGAAAGCAATCATCCACCTGCCAGGTGGAGGGACCGAACCCGAAATCTGCACTCAACCCGTTAAGCACATCACCCGGGCAGCAGAAATCCGGCCCGAAAATTCCGCCCGAGAAACCGTCCTTGTCAAACAAACTGGGCGCCACCACCGAGTTCTCCAACTCGGCAAACAAATCGTCACTCGGCCCAAAAATCGAGAAATCCGGGAAATTCCCGTCGCTCCTCGAAACGGTACCTTCCGGCTGCGAGAAAACAGAGCACGACTCGGTCTCAGCTTCGGCTTCGACCTCCGCTTGGGATTCAACCGCCGAGACAGACCGGAGGACGGACTTGGGCGACTTGGCCGCGGTGTTGTGCGACTGCGACGGCGACTCCTCACCGGAGTTGTACCCCGCCGGCGGGGCGGAGAAGTTTGTCTGCGCGTCCGGGCCACGCAGCTGGATGGCCGCGTGGTCGTACACCATGGCGGCCTCCTCCGCCGTGTCGTAAGTCCCCAGCCAGAGCCTCACCTTCTTGCAGGGGTCCCTGATCTCCGCCGCCCACTTGCCCCACGGCCTCTGCCTCACCCCTCGGAACTTCCTCGGACTCCCCGCCTTCGCCGGTGCCCTCGCCGCCTCCGCCTCCTTCCGGTCTACTTTTTCACCGGCTCCGGCCCTCGTCCTCCGCCGGCTGCTCCTGGAGACGCCGTTTGCACTTCCGCCAACTATTCCGTTATCTCCGCAGCAGTGCTGGATTCTGACCTCGCTAATAAACCTCCTGACCCGCCGCCGTTTGACGGATAATCCATCCCGTTCGTCCCCGGACGAGTCGGTAGCGTCGGGGTCGGTGACGGAGAACCGCACCGTCCTCACGGCAGTAGTCTCCGCCTGGAAACGATTCTTCCGGCTGAAAAGGGGATTTTCCGGTCGGGCGGCGACTGTGGTTTGGGTAACATGCTCGCTGTATTTGACTCGCCCTCCAGACAACAGGGTATTTTCGTCCTGCTCTAACAGCATCGTGCGGTACACAGATTTTCCTTTCCTTTTTTTTCTTGTTTATGAAGCTTTAATTTTGTTTTCCCAACAGATTCGCATTGAAAGCGAAAGGGTTTTAAGAGCGTGAAAGGGTTGGGAGTAAAGGGGGTGAGAGATTCTTTGAGAATAAAGAGAAAGTTGAAAGAGGTCGAGTTTCGAGACAGAGTAAAAAATAGAAAAAAAAAACTCTGATTTACAGAGAAAGTTTGAGGATGAGAGTAAAACCACACTATTACCAGAGACTAAAAGAACAAAGAGAGAAAAAAAAGTCCGAAAAAGGAAACTAAGTAAAGGAGATGGGAATCAAATGGATAATGAAAGTACTTTTTGAGTTTTCCTTTTTTTGCTTTTAGTGTGTGTGTGTTTTGGGTAATTTGAGTAAAACCCAGATGGAAACTTGGATTCCTCTGCTTTTGCCGCTTCAAGATTTTATCGAGTAGGTGAAGAACTGGTTTTCTGATTTTTTGTNTCTCTTTCTACTGGAGGGAGTGAGAGAGAGGGTCAATAGCGAGTATTATCCGCTTTAGAGAGAGAGAGAGAGCTTCGTAAGAGAGAGAAAATTGTAGTAGTTCAGTTGCGGTGAGAGACCGAATAATGTGAACCGAAGCCACTATTATATAGGATGCGATATTGCTCAAATTCGATAATTTTGGGGTTAAAATGGAAAGATTCACAATTTTTTTAAATTTCGGAAAATTGACTTTTTATTTGTAATCTCGTTTAATTAAGATCAAAATGGCGTTTACCAGTTAAGTTGAGCGAGATATTTATTCGAACGAGCCGCCGCATCTAATGGGGAACCTGGGATCTGACACGTGTACCGAGCACCTAAGGCCTAAGTAGTAAATTTTCATTTTTACGAAATGACCGACTTGTTAAAAAAGACAACTTTTATAGTAATATACTAGTGTGTAGCTGTGTACCAGTATTAAATTAACAATATTATAAATAGACCTCGAGTTTAAGTTATTTAATGGTGGAATTAGAAACTATTATTAATTTTATTTAAAAAGAGAAAAAAAAATTATAAATTAAAGAGGAAGATAAACAATACTTAATAATTATAAATTAAAGAGAATTCGGGGTCAAACAATGTAAAATTATTTTGTATAAGAGAATATAAAATTAATATTATTTTGTATAAGAGAATATAAAATTTATATATTTAATATTAAAAACACCTAAATATTATATTAATATTTGTAAGAGTAATCAAAATTTTCTATATTATTTTTGAAAGATGTGAAGTCACCTACAACTTTTTTAAACAATTTTAGAAGGAACATATCTAAAAACATTTGAATTTAACATTGCGTAAAAAAGATTTTTTTAAACTATTTAATAAAGAAAACATGTCTACAAATATTTAAATTTAACATCAATTATGTATGTGTATATGTATATATATATATATATATATATATGAGCATGANTATATATATATATATATATATATATATATATATATATGAGCATAATTTAATAAAGACATTATGTCAGATAATACCGAATATGACGTTACTCCCATCTAAAAAATGTTTGATTACACACCATTGTTATTATATTTTTTACGTTGTTATCGAGGATGTATTGTTAGCTTATAATATTTGTAGAAATATTAATAATTAGACCGATGAAAATTAGCCTTTTAAAGTAGATAATGAATTTCTAGTAATAATTATGAATTGATTTTTTTTTTTTAAATCTTTATAGATAAGAGATGAGATTTTTTAAACTCGTGAGATGTATGCAATAAGGTTTTGTAACATAAGAGATAAACTTGTGTAGATTTATGCTATGAGATTTTTGTGGGAAAGTTTAAACCAAAAGCCAATCGGATTTATTGTTGCAAGCTAAAATTAAGAAAACAATGCAATTAAAGAGTCGGTTTTTGTGTCTATTCACAATTGTTCAACAATTACTATATATAAGATATATTTAATGATTTTGGCAGAAAAAAGTTTCTGAATTTATTAAAAGGTTATTCTTTTTATATAATGATAGATTTCATACAATTTTTGAATTAAAAAATTAATTTGAATTTATATTTTTATAAGATTCACTAACTATCAATTATTATTTTATAATTTGTCCATTGCATTATAATGAATAATACTATTTTTATTTATATTATATTATTTTATATCATAAAAATTACTTTCTCATATTCACAATAAGTGTCGTTTTGAGAAGTTGCACATTGATTAAGAAATTTTTTTGCCAATAATACCCTTCATTAATAAAGATAGAGATTGATGTTTTGAGAAAAGATGAAGAGTGAATATAAGAAGACGCAGTATTTTTATTAATTAAATGAGAGTAATAATAAAAAATATGTACAAAATATATTGATAAAGCCAAAATGATAATAAAAAGAATATGTGGTAGTATTAATATTTAACTTCCTAAAAGTAGATTTATCGAATTAAAAGATATGACCCGGCTATTTGAGGAGTCTCATGAAATGAAACCGAAAATTTAAGCTTATTATTTTGTGCAAAAACTAAAAATTCACAATAAATGTTATATATCTTGGGGTTTAGTATATTCCACTGTTATAAATTTAAAGTGGGAAACCTATTTTTTTTCAAACGTCAAATGGAATTAAATCAAGAACTCGAAAATACAAAATTCGGATAATCAACAGATTACATACTTGCCCTTAAAGCTTACAACCGCAACTTCAGGGACAAGCTGGGGATATTAGATGAATTATCATCAAGGTTTGTGTAATGAATGAATGAGATATTCACTTGTTCAGGGAGAAACAAAGAGAAAATAATGGAAACGATTGTATTTAAAATAACAGATGTGAAAATGTGTTGTACAGTTAACCCTAATTTGCTATTTATACATTGTGTATTATATCTAAAGTTGCTAATGAAAAAATTACACTTTCTCACTAATCTAACTTAGGTATTTAGGGTAAAAGGATAATTACATAAAATATAAAATGCTTTATACTTGGAGAGTAAATGTTGAAACTGTAATGGTCCTAAAGCTTTTGTCAACCGTTCTGCAAATTATCTTTGGTGTGTATGTACTCCATTTTGACAGTGCCTTAGAACTCTGTGTGCTGCATCTAATTGTTGTTCAATTGGCTTGGTCATATATTGGCTGAGTGACGGTACACTATATGAAATATTTGACTTAGTGATTAGTAAGATATATAGTCTAGCCATTAATATCCTATATGTTTTTTCATCTGTTAAAGGGGAAGAGCTGTTGCCATTAGCATTTGATGTAAGTTTCAGATTAGGGTCCATAGGAGTATTTGCTGGTTTACAACCTAAAAAGCCAGAGTCATTTAATATGTCTAGTGGTTACTTTCTTTGACAAATATTAATACCCTTAACAGAATAAGAAACTTAATTCTATACCTAAGATGTACTAGTACAGAGCCCGTGCAATGCACGGAGTGCATAATTTTAAGGCTATAAAATCCAGGCTTATAATTATATACATGAATAAAGAAAAATGTACGGGATATATATAGTACGTGACCCGTGCGAAGCACAAGATATATTCATTTGGAGAATATTATATTATAAGATGCAATATTTAATAAAAGTTTATAATACGCAAGAAATTGTATAATGTTCAACAAAAGTTTTATAATATTCAAGTGGAGTCTTACAGTCTCTTGTACATTAAGACTACTGACAAAATAATATTTTAATCAATGAGTTTCCTTTCCTTGTAGCCAAATTGTGAATATGATTTGAGGAGTACAACAAATCGATATATAGCTGACTTGCTTTTTTCATTGTAGTTTTTTTTTCTTTTTTTTTATAATGAATTTAAAGATATTCTAAAATATAGCAAAATTTTTTTTTTTTTTATTACAATTAGGAATTTTACTAAATATGAACTCTCAATCTATGGTGTTAATCAACTTTTAAGTCTAAAAAATTAGAAATTTTTACCTCTTTTAATCAACGTTTAAGTCTAAAAAACAATAGAGTTATTATAAGTTTTTTTCTACATCTTTTAAAACATTAAATATGAGCATGTTAGAGCTAGCTTGTAAAATAATTAATATATTATCTCACTAAAACATTTATACTAATAAAAATTTAATTTTAGTATATAAATTTATCCCTTGATATAAGAGAAAGTAACAGTTTTACTTATTGTTGTTCACCATATAATATTTGATTATTATTTTATTATATAATAAAAAAGGAATATTGTTAAATAGTGTAGTAGAATTGTTATGAAATTATATGATTTTTTTTTACAATATGGATTTAATATTTTTTTATGATTTGATAATATAAACAAATCTATACTTAACTTTGACAAATAAAATAAATAAATACTTTAGTAAGTATTTAATGTATATACTAAATAGAAATATATTTGGTATAATCAAATACCAAATATAATCAAATAAGTCAAAGTGTACATTTTTATTTGGTATTTGATTTTTTTATTATTAAAATCTTTTTATTATACTTACCTTTTTAAAATAAAACAAATAAATAAATCAATTAAATAAATAAAATATTATACTACCAAAATAGTAATGACATTTAATGCAGTTGACTTTTCTGGATAGTAAATGTAGTAAATAGAATATCCTTTTATATAGTATAAAATACGGAAATAGTAATGCAATAAATGTTGTTGACTTTTCTGGCTACTTAATTTAGCAAATAGTACCCCCTTTAATATAAGTATAGATATAATTTCAAAATAAGTGTCGTTTTAAAATTTCCATTCAGAAATTCAATCTACAATGTAATTCCATAAAATAATAATTTTGATAAAATGTTATGAATATTTAAAAATTTATGTGAATAATAAGTACAGTTATAAAACTATATTATTTCATTAACTAAATTGAATTTATTTTTGTATAAACTATCTAAATAAAAAAATTAAGTAGTTGAGTAATTTATTAAATTATAAATAATTGATTATTCTATTTACGTCCAAGTTAATACTAACCCGTAAGTTATTAAGAATAACTTATTTGA